TGTACCTGGTTGGAGACACTACAAGATATGGCTGCCAACCGATATCAGTGGCGTTCTTGTTGTCAGTTTCTATCCAGATTGCCTGAGTGAATGTCTGGAGGTGTAGGCACCTCTGAATGATTGTGTTAAGCTAGCACTAAGTCCCTCCCCCATCCACCTTTATTCTTTTCTTTACAATAAGGCCTTCAAATAAATCATGGTTATACGGCAGTGTTGAGCACTGATGTCCTGCTGTCGATGATGATGATGACTTCTGTCTTTCGTTACTGCCTTTGCTAATTAAATTCTTCAGTGGTGCCTGTTTCGTAGTCGTTCGGTGGTTTACGAAATTTTTCATCTGTTGAGTCGCAATAGTTTTCTGTTAAATTACGGCATGTTATTTCCCACTTTGCGTGATGACATTTATCGGCTTATTGGTAGACAACTTGACCGATTCGGCTCCAGCTGACAGGATCCGTTTGCTTTTTTCTGTCGTAAACTTTCTAAGAATCACCCACTTGACCTGTGGGTGTGTACGACGAGTACGCGGTTCTTACAGCTGACAATGATGATGATGATGAGGAACCCAGAAATTACGGACTCTGTTGTCAATGCCAAATTAACTTGCAGTTTCTGCTGTTGGCCACTTTGTTGCATTCTTGTTCAGTTCTGCATCATAACTTGAGTGAGTGAGCGCTAGCACCTGGCAATATAATTTCCTGAAACTGTGATGCTTATTGAAATGAGCAGGGATTACTACTGTATCATATATCCTGTTCATTTATCCTACATGCCATGCATGGTGTAGTTTCTTAAAGATATGCAGGAAAACCCGTTATCGAATAGAGAGAAGAGAAGAAATATTAATGCGACTGCTGGACGGTTGTAGGGTTAGCAGTTGATGCAGAGCCTGTGGTGACAAGACACGCAGAGTCAGCAGCCCTTCCAAGTCGTTTCAAGGCCTGTCGACCAGTGGATAACTAGATCCAAAGAGGAACTTATAACTATCAATTCACATGGATTCAACTGAACACTTGAACTTCATAATGCGTGCCAAGTGTGATCTGGTGTTTTACACCACTCATGAGATGCACACGAGACACACATATGGCTTAAAGGTACTAGTCGTTAGGTTGGGTCACAGAAAATCATTTCTAGCTCCTCTATGAACCGAAACATTCCGGAATATTCAGTGCCAATGATAATAATAATGATAGTAATATAAGTGTTCAGCTATAACACCCTTTCGGTGCCTAGCTGTCATGCCATCCGAAAGGCGGCACGAGAGATGAGGTACTACCAGGGTGCCTAAATCAAATAGAGTCTAGATGCGCAGGTCAGGTTTGAACCACGGACGTTCCGACCAGTGACTATGTGGACCACCAAGCACTATGGCAGTGTCTGTGGAGCAAAGGTGTCCCCCATAAATTCTTGAACTGTACGCCAACTCCCGCG